AAGATTGGTCTATAAATGTGGCCTGTATCGTGTTTACAAATTATAATGGACAGACGGACGGACAGACATGTCTAGATCGACTCAGCTAGTCGAGATATGACGATCTGTATACTTAAAGGTGGGCCTAGGACCAATATTTTGCGGCGTTACAAACTCTTGGGGCTGCACAAAGCTATAATACCCTGACAACATAGTTGTGTAGGGTATAATAATAACATATATCTTATAATAACATATACCTTATATAAAGCAAACCATAGGCTGAGCGTATATATCTGTCAGCAAAACCGACTGATACTTTTTACTTTTTTTTTTTTTTCTAATTTTGTATCAGAATAGCAGTTATGTCTGTGAAATATTCAAGTGTTGGATGATTTTAAATGCCCACACTGGTCATACAAATTTTCATTTTTTTTCCAATTTCAGAGAACAAGAACACGACAAAGAACTGAAGAAATTATTGGAACACCTTGAGTGGTTGAATGGTGTCACCAAATTTAATATGGAACTTAATAATGGGTAGGTAAAAATTCCAAATATCAGTGGATATAGAAAAAATTGACACGACATGAATCTAGGGTGGTTATGTTGTCTACGATTCATTTGAATGAGGGAAAGCTCACTTACTCGGAAAAAGATATATCTCCAATTGACATTGACCGAAGTAAAGTGCTGTGAGCGTTTGTACAAACATATGCAGGATTTTTTTGTGGCTCTGAAACTTGTGTTCGATTTCTTTGTAAATCTAATATGCATACATTCCTATTTATTCTAACATATTTGGTACTGAAAACAGTACATACATAACTAAGGACTAAATAGTTAAAACTCGATGTTTTTCGAAAAATATTCCTTCAGATATTTTCCAAAAACTTGTTTGTAAAAAAATTGTAATTATTTTGTTTTGAAAAATAGGTTCAACTGGACAACAATCTTACTACGCACGGATGGTTCTGTCAATTTCCACAGAAATTGGACCGAATATAAAAACGGGTTCGGCAATCCACCGTATGGAGAATTTTTCATTGGCCTCGAAAAATTACATAAACTAACTACAGCTGTTCCGGTCGTTGAATTAAAGATTATTTTAAAATCCTGGGATGATGAAGAACGTTACGCCATCTATGATGGATTTCAGATTGGCAATGAAACCGAAAAATATGAATTGAAATTTGTGGGTGAATATAGTGGAACAACTGAAGATAAGCTGACAAAACATTTGGGACTAAAATTTAGTACCTTCGACGAAGATAATGATACTGCCAGTTCTAATTGTGCCCAATCGTTTGAAGGTGGTTGGTGGTTCACGGATTGCTATTATTGGTATAGAGCTCTTTTATTTACTTGCTGTGTCGTATTAATATGGGTGTTCTATTTCAGTCATTTAACTGGACCCTATCGACAAAAAGAAAATGTTACCTTAAATGGTGTTTCTTGGAATAGTATGAAGTGGAAGGGAATGGATTATTCATTTAAATATGCAGAGATGTTAATACGTCCCAAAGTAAAGAATTAATAAATGGGATGTACGTTCAAAATAATCAATAAATATATATTTCCTCAGTTTTCACATGGCTTGTATATTTTGAATTGGAAACGGTTATTGTAGATAATTACGAGAATATAGAAACCCCAAATGGACTTATTCGCCATAGGTCTAGTTTTTGAGTTATGAAGAAATTTGCAGAAGGCTGTAGTTTTTCAAAGCTCTAACGTTTTATTCACTGCGAAATACCTTACAATAATTTAACCAATAAGTTCTGTCTTTAGATATTTTGTAAGGGACCATTTAGTTGTGCTGCAGTTGAAAATTACTGGGTTAAAAAAAGTTTTCGGTTATGGACACCCTAACTGAAACCGTATCTGTCATACGTTTTGATTATTTCCAGCACTGTGAATGACCGCTATAAAATCTGTGTCAATTTAAGAGATAAGAATCAAGCAGACTATTGTGCATCAAAATTCCCAATAATGAAACAGATATTGTTAGTACTATATTAATTTAAAAACAAAACAAAAAAAAACAAAACAAAAAACAATATGATCGCTATTTTTGTAAATATCAGACTGCCTGTTGGAAATGAAAGTAATCAGTGCAACCGAATACGTTGTTGAGTGAACAGTCGAAAAATGAGAACGCTATTCGTAATAGTCCTATTAAAAACTTTAATTAGCTGTAACAATGCAGCTGATAACGCAATCAGCGAGGAATACTATGTAAGCAAGAAATGTAAATACAAATAAACAACAAATTGTATTCCTATTTTATTTAGAATCCCTATGAAGATGAACATCGTTTAATTTTGTGGAAGAATTTATTTATAAAAGTAAATACGCTATTGACGCAAACAGAACAACTATATGAAAAGTAAGTATGGATTTAGAAATAGATAGTGACCACTTTAGCATTTTATCAGCTACCGATGCTGTTATACATGAAGCGATTGCTCAATATCTTGATTTGAAGCCATTGTATTTATTTTTGGAGTTTACATTTTTTTTAGTAAATTTGAATAAGGAATTTGTGTGTAGAATGTATTGCCCTTCTATGTCCTTTTTTTCGATCGTTCCCACGCCACTCATTCCCGCCCCTGCCGACCGAGGGGGCCACCTCCTCATAACGAGAGGAGCACGTACTCCCCATAGTCCGGACTATGGAGGGATATGATGGTATGAAAACTACCGGCTACAAACCATTTCAGCCGGTCATATATGTATTTACTACGAACAAGGACAAAAGAACTACATACGAAGGATTCCATTTTTTATGGCTTCTACAGAGTCGTAAAATGGTATCTATACTAATAAAAGAGTAAAGTGATTGACTGACTGACTGACTGACTGATTTAACGATTCATCAACGCCCAGACGAAACGGCTAAAGCTAGAATCTTGAAATTTTGGGTGAGGGTCACTCTTGGCCCAAATGTGACAGATAAGGCTGGGTTTTTGGAAATTCGTACTAGAAGGGTACGAAAAGTACTAAATATGATATCATTTGTATTTGGCGAACCAGTAGAGCTAGAACTCTGAAATTTGGATTGAGGGTCACTGATGGAGTGTAGGATAGATGTACCAAAGGGTTTTTGGAAATTCGAACTACAACTATCCGAAATGTACGAAAATGTACTAAATTTGGTACAATTCTGTAGCATGAGAACGGATAGAGCTAAAAACTTGAAATTTGGAATGCGAATTAGGGTTGGGAAGTAGGGTCGATATAAGGAGATGGTTTTGAAACCGTGTACTCATGTGTACGAAAAGTACTATATGGTACTATATTTGGTACAAATTTGATTTGGAGGTACAAATGGAGCTGGAATTCTGAAAATTGAAAGTAACATTGCCGTCGGAGTGTAGGATTGGGATATGTACGTAGTTTTGGAAATTTGTTACTTATGTGTACGAAAAGTACTAAATCGTACTATAATTGGTACAATTTGGATTTGGGTGAACCGATGAGCTGAAACAATGAAATTTGGAGTTAGGATCATTTTAGGGGTGTAGGATTGGGGTCAGGACTCAGTTTAGGACATTATTACTAATGGGTACTAAATGGTACTAAATTTGGTACAATTTGAATTTTAGGTGAACCAATTGAGCTAGAATCATAAAATTTGGAGTCAGGATCACTGTCGAGGTGTAAGATTGAAAAATGTAGGAAGTTTTAAAATTTTGTACTAATGTGTACTAAATTTGGTACAACTTGAATTGTGGGTGAACCGATACAGTTGGAATCCTGAAATTTAGATTTTGGAGCACTGTGGGGTGTTGGTTTGGGTTAAGTTGGAAGTTTTTGAAATTCGTACTAAATGGTACTAAATTTGGTACAATTTGAATTTTAGGTGAACCAATAGAGCTAGAATCATGAAATTTGGAGTCAGGATCATTGTTGAGTTGTAAGATTGAGAAATGTAGGAAGTTTTAAAATTTTGTACTAATGTGTACTAAATTTGGTACAATTTAAATTGTGGGTGAACCGATGGAGTTGGAATCCTCAAACTTGGATTTAGGATCACTGTGGGGGTGTTGGTTTGAGTTAAGTACGAAGTTTTGGAAATTCGTACAACTGTGTACTAAATTTGGTACAATTTGAATTATGGGTGAACCGATAGAGTTCGAATCCTGAAATTTTGATTTTGGAGCACTGTGGGGGTGTTGCTTTGGGTTAAGTTTGAAGTTTTTGAAATTCGTACTAAGTGGTACTGAATTTGGTACAATTTGAATTTTAGGCGAACCAATAGAGCTAGAATCATGAAATTTGGAGTCAGGATCATTGTTGAGGTGTAAGATTGAGATATGCAGAAATTTCTGCTAATGTGTACTAAATTTTGTACAATTTAAGTTGTGGCTGAAGCGATAGAGTTGGAATCCTGAAATTTTGAATTGGGATCGCTGTGGAGGTGTAGGATTGGGGTATGTAGGAAGGTTTGAAAATTGGTACTACTATGTACTAAATTTAGTACAATTTGATTTGTGGGTGAACAGATGGAGTTGAAATCCTGAAATTTTGATTTAGGAACACTGGGGAGGTGTAAGATTGGGGTATGCAGGAAGATTTGGATATTGGTACTACTATGTACTAAATTTAGTACAATTTGAATTATGGGTGAACCGGTAGAGTGGGAATCCTAAAACTTTAATTTAGGATCAGTGTGGGGGTGTATGATTGGGGTATGTAGAATGTTTTGGAAATTGGTGCTACTATGTACTAAATTTGGTACAATTTGAATTGTGAGTGAACCGATAGAGTTGGAATCCTGAAATTTGGATTTAGGATCGACGTGGGGGTGAAGGTTTGGGTTAAGTATGACGTTTTGATAATTCGTACTGCTGTGAACTAAATTTGGTACAATTTGTATTGTAAGTGAAGCGATAGAGTTGGAATCCTGAAATTCGGATTTAGGACCACTGTGCAGGTGTAGGATTGGGGTATGTAGGAAGTCTAGGAAATTGGTACTAATGTGTACTAAATTTAGTACAATTTGAATTGTGAGTGAACCGATAGGGTTGGAATCCGGAAACTTTGATATATGATCACTGTGGAGATCTAGGGTTGGGTTTAAGTAGGAAGTTTTGGAAATTCGTACTTATGATTGTTAAAGTAGGTAGTTATGGAAATTTATATTAACGTGTATTAATTTGGATTGGTGAAGCTAATTAAGCTAATTGTCGGTATTGGGTTATTGTTTTTCAAAATAATTATTACAAGAGTAAAAAGGGTAAAAAGATTACACCAAATATAGCGTAGTGGTAGATTTCTGTTGCGGTGAGAATTGGTGTGTAGGGTTGAGATATAGAGGTAGTTTTGGAAAACGTACTATAAGATAACATATGTACTAAATGGTTCTTAAATTTCAATAATGGTCGGTATTGGGTTTTAAATACTTCTCACATTCGCTAACGAAGTAGCGGGTATATGCTAGTACAATTATAAAGCTTATTATAAACCTCACATATAGCACGAAAGGGATCATTTAATTCATAATTAGATTTAGCTAAAGAAAGTTTAAGTGGAATGTAGTTACGCGTGTTACGTGGAGGTACATTCAATTTTATTTCTCCAACTAAAAAACTCTTAAATGTTTAGTAATAAAAATTGCGCGGAGCATTAAACGTCTTCTCCCAAGAGTTGGGAGATCTATAAGTTTCAATCTATTTTCATAAGGCGGGAGAGCTAAATTTGTATTCCATGGTAAACCTCTAAGAGCAAAAAGAAGAAATTGTTTTTGAACCGATTCTATTTTGTCAGAATAACATTTGTAGAGAGGACTCCAAAGTACGCATCAGTATTCTAAGGTAGGTCGAACAAGAGTAACAAAGAGACGTTTGGTCACGTAGGGATCATCGAACTCTTTAGACCAACGTTTTATAAAGCCTAACAACGACTTCGCTTTATTAACAAAAGCCTCAATATGTAAGTGGAAACGAAGTCTATTATCTAGATCCTATTGTGTAATTACAAGACACATGTCGTGTTCTAAAGAAATATATTTTTTCAATGTTACTTCTGCTACCAGATTTGTGAAGGGGAATTATAAAACTGGATCTCCAAAAATAAGGAAAATAACCAGAAGACAACGACGCATTAAATATATTAGTAAGGGGAATATATAATTCATGAGCAGAGGATTTACGAATATATTCGGGAACACCATCCGGACCGGGTGATTTAGAGTTATTTAACGATTTCAGTCCATTTACGACTTCATCTTCCGTGAGAGTAATAGGGAGGAAGTTATTTAATTTGTTAATATTGTAGTTGTTGGATGAATTTGTAGAGTATGTTGAGTAGTTACTTTGAAAAAAATCTGCAAACATATCAGATATTTCATTAATATCAGATGATTCTCTGCAGCCAAAATTCATACTGCTAGGAAATTCCCGTACTTTACGTTTAGAATTTACAAAGTTATAAACATTTTTGGGGTTATTATAAAGACTATTTCTCATTTTATTTAAGTAGCTTGCGTAACTTCTAGAGTTTTCATAGTTATAGGAATTTCGGGCTTTTAAATAATTTACGTAATTCAATGTAGAGTTGCATTTTTTTAAATTTTTTATATAGCCTACTTTTAGAATTTTTTAAATGTTTTAGATATGGGTTGGACCACGCCGTACCTCTATCGATGGTATATTTTTCAATGGGGACAGATATTGAAAGCGCATCATTTAAGAGTTTATAAAAGCATGAAATTTTATCATCAATACTACCCTTACTGAACCAATTTAATGCTTGATAACGTTCCTTGAAGCAATACTAAATTTGCTTTAGCAAAGTTTAATTTTTTTATTTTACAAGTTTTTGAGGGGACATTCGTTAATTGATTGTATTCCAAATCAATACTCAAAGTTGGGTGGTAATTATCTTCTGGTTCCGCAAAAGGCAAACGCCTACAGAGGGAAACATTTGAAGTTGTAGTGAAGACTAAATCCAGAATTTTATCTTTAACGTTTCGAATACTGTTAATTTAAAATAAACATAGGTCATAAATATACTCCCATAACATATCCATGCCAGTAGATGCAACAGGTATATAATCAATATAATGTTCACCCCTGATCCATGTAATGTTAGGCAGGTTAAATTCACCTAGGCAAATCAATTCAGTATTTGTTGAATATGAGGATGTAATTTCCTTAATAATCTCAAAGTGTTTTAAGTAAATTTCTAGATTAGAATTTGGAACAATGTAGGAGCAAGTTAATAAGATAGAAGTATTTGATATTTTTAATTTAATGCAGACTAATTCAATATCCGGATAAACCGGCATTGTGATGCGTTCTGAGGCAATGGAATTATGAACAGAAATCAGCACTCCACCGCCTATTTTATGTAATCTATCATTACGGTATATTTGATATTCATCTGAAAAAAGCTCACTATAGAGGATATTCATTATATTCATTATCGAAAGACTTTAAGTAAATATTGCGAAGTTTCGTTTTTAAACCTCTAACATTTTGGTAAAGTATATTCAGTGAATTTTTCATGATTAGTTTTTTGAGAGAGGCAACACTGTTGGAGGTTTTTCCCTTTCTCTATACAAGAATTCTTTTACTAATACAATTTATTAAACCGTACTCCAACTACCACAAAATGTGATCCCCGCAATGTTCTACTAAAAATTAAAACATTAGATGGGTCCCTCAAAGACGATAAATCGATATTTTAACGCTTAAATTGTATTTTCTCTTACTTTACCTGTGTACGCATGTGTTTCAATATATCATTGTGACCATCTCTGGTCAAGAGGATTTCTAGAGCACCTATTGTTTCAATCCAAAATTTGCCAATTTTGTCCTTTCCCTAATTGTTTTGTTTTATGTAAACTCAAAATATCAGTTATATATGGGCATAATAACCTAGTGTTGGAGGGTTTTAAATGGCCGGTCCGGTTCAATATCTTTTATATGATTTTTCCTATACATTGTAAGCGTTTTCCAATTTCAGACAACGAGAACAAGACAAGAAACTGAACAAATTGGTGGAACAGGTATAGTGGGTGAATGGAGTCAACAAATTTAACTTGGAACTTAATAATGGGTGAGTATAAATTTATCAATCACAAAGCCATACAAAATTGTAAAGACTTGACAAAATGCGTTTTTGAAAAATATTTAGTCGAAAAACATTTAAGTTTCTTATCAATACGCCAACTGGCAATGAAACGCTTTAAAATACTTAAAATTGCTTATGCCTATTGGACTTTGTAATGTCACATCCATTGCTCAGTTATTAACTTTTAAAAAATACAGCTTGGTATTTTACCATAGGTAGTGAATTTTTAAATATATAATTCAGTTTTTGCAATTCTTAATGCTTAATAAACATTATTTGATTTTGGTATATGTCCAAATTAAGATATTGTACCATTGAAGATACCTCTCACCGATAATATAAAGATTTTGTTTTCTAATCGAATTGGTCAAATCTCCCTAAAACTAATCAGTATAGTCATTCGGTCGCAAATCACTCAACCAAATATCAATATTGGTTCATCCTTTGCAGTAGCTCCATGTAACGTATACTTTCTACTTCCTCCAGATGCTGCATAAAAATTTAATTACGTGATATCCACCATCCAATTTTGGCATACTATTTCCAACACTTCGGCCGGTATCTCACGAAAACCCTGCTTCAATGGACACATTGGAAGACAACATTGAAGCATTTAATACTATAGTTTAGATATAATTTCTGACTGATCTTCCCTCCCCAATCGAGAATTATGACCAACCCATCCCATTCTCCAATAATTATATATTGTGGTATTTTTGCACCAGCTGTATTCTGAAAGGCTTTAATATTTACTTTCACAAGAAATGAGATTTGATTGTTTGGCATGAAACATTTGAATGTTTGACAAGAAACATTAATCTTTTGACAAATATTCCTTAATAAATGTTCTACAAGACAAACACATTTAATTTCCCATTGTCATTTGCTTTCAAAAATGTAGTTTCAACTGGACAACAATTTTGCTGCGCAAAGATGGATCTGTAGATTTCTATAGAAATTGGACGGAATATAAAAACGGGTTCGGCAATTCGCCGCATGGAGAATTTTTCATTGGCCTCGACAAATTACATAAACTTACCACAACGGTTCCAGACGTCGAATTAAAAGTTATTCTAAGAACATGGGATGATGAGGAACGTTACGCCCTCTTCGACGGATTTCAGATTGGTAATGAAACCGAAAAATATAAACTGAAATTTGTGGGTGCTCATAGTGGAAATACTAAAGATATGCTGTCGCGTCACATGGGACTTAAATTTAGTACCTTTGACGAAGATAATGATATTACCGATTTCAATTGTGCCCAATTCTGGAAAGGTGCTTGGTTATTTGACAATTGTTATTTTTGGTGTGAAGCTATTCCAATTACTTTTCTTACATTGTTTAATACAATTGTTTTTTTTCAGCCAACAACTGGACCATTTCGACTGGACCATATCGACAAAAAGAAAATGCCAACTCAGCCGGGGTTGCCTGGAATAGTGAGAACAGGAAGGGCAAGGATTATTCGTTTAAATATGCAGAGATGTTAATTCGCCCAAAACTGAAGATTTAATAAATATTGTGTACGTTAGAAATAATCAATAAAAAATATTTACTCAGCTCTCACTTTGTTTATATATGTTAATTTATACTTTAATTTAAATTGGAAAAATTCAGGGTTTTTGGTGCATTATTTACATAAAATTGGACAAATATGTATGGGAGCTATGAATCGGAACCGATTTTAATGTAACCTTATACGTGCCATTATGGACTCAATACGGCACGTTGTTCTAAATTTCGTCTTAATCGGTCAAACCTTTGGAGCGAAATGTAAATTCGATCCGGTTTCAAAGAAGCTTAGACGCTATCCAAAATTTCGTCTCAATCGGATAACCCCTGGCAGTTTGCAGTACCATTTACATAAAATCGAAAAGTATACTCATCCAACTCACACAAAAATGGTACAAATTGAACCAAAATATATTTATTTGAATGATAATTTTGTCGAGTTTAGAAATGTGTATAATCAAAATAATTGTTTTTATTTTCGACCATAAAAAGTTCGTACATATGAATATAAATGCTGAATTTAGCATTTACCGAGATCACTTTTTTCATTTATTAATGCTTTCAATCTAATAATTTTATTCGATTTAAGCATGTCCCTCTGCCTATTATAATCACTCTACACTCTAAACGAATTGTGATAGATCGCAAACATGTTTTCATCATAAAGTTGTGTTTTTTCGGCAGGCCAGGTCAAGTTCGAGGATGAGCTATATCGGTCAACGTTTGGGCACCGCCCGATATAACGCTAATTTTAACTTGGATCTTTCCTCCGACTTGACTGTAATTTATTATTTTCGGTTCTCATTGAATATCACATCTCCGTAATATTGCCCCAAGTTTCAGAGTAGCGCCCATATAACAGTACCCACAATATTCGGTATTTGGACGATTTTGGCGTGTTGGCTACAATTTGGTACTTTGGGTTATCATTGTATACAACATCTTTGTTCTACAAATTTTTAATATTGAACTAAGTTGGAGCGTAGCTCCTATATAACTCCACATATTTTTACTAAAAATTACTTCACTACCCCCAAATTAACAATATTGATCCGAAAATGAGCTATCGATCCTCAATTAGCCATAGCACTTCATATTATGATAACGCCAAATGTTCGGTTATTCCTACACGATGTAATTAATTAATATTGGTCACGCTTTAGGTATAGCCCACATAGCCCCATCATTCGATATAGTATAGTTCCACGTGGGGTTGGAACTTTTATTTAAAGTAATTGTCAGTATACCAATGGTGGAGGGTATCCAAAGTTCGGCCTGGCCGATATTATCGCTTTATTCACTTGTTTATATTAAAATAGTTAGCTGGTTTGCTCCGCCGTTTGAGGTTGTCCCCATATACCCTACAAAGTATGGAATTCTATGACCATTTAGCCACCTGTTATAATCATTCTACCTTCGAAAGATATCGAGACAATTAACTAGAACGTCATAGGGCCGGCCAGCCCCCATAAAATGATAATAACGATTTTCGGTATTTAAAATATTTAAAGTAAAGCAAATTATTGTGATGCAAAAATGTTAGGTTAAAATTTGAACTATATCAATCATAAATTAAGAATATCCTGTCATTTAATGATAACCCCAAATATTTGCTAATACATACATTATGAAATCAATATTGGTTCCGCCTTACGCATAGCCTTATATAATTTTGTCCTTTAAATTGTAGTATTTTTAAGATTTTATAAAAATGTTCCATCCTACTATGCGTTTCAATATTGGTCAACGTTTTGAGGTTTTGAGATTTTAGGAAAAAAATTGTATTTGGTGTACATTATGGTTTACATTAATAGATTTGAAGAATTGTCGGACCTTTTGTTACCTTATTTTCATTTCAAGTACCTTCCAGCATATTTATGTTGGAGAATACCCAAAGTTCGGTCCGGCCGAACTTAACGCTTTTTTACTTGTTACTTCTTAGTTTGATTGCCCTTGTGCCACATGAATGTAGCCTTGGTCTAATAGGACCAATAAATTTCAAAAATGGGTAAAAAGTTAAATTAGATCACAACTATATAAATAGGTATAACACATCGAATAAATCAAATTGGACTTGTCTGCGGGAGAGACAATTGCACATTTCAGTACATTACTAAAACCAATGTGTGATTTTAAAACATAATATTAACGTATTAAAAATATAGAGTTATCAAATTTGAAATCGGTAAAATTGGTTCAGCTTGTAAATTTCGTATTAATTCTAGGTTTTAGAGAAGCAAGCGAGACTAGTTTGCCATTTGAATGATAAGAAGCCGTAGGATTTTCGTTCCAAATTCCCCAGTCATGTAACAGTTATGGTCAATTTTCAGAAACTAATTTATCTCAATTTTTATAAATTTAAGATCGCATTAGTAAAGGAAATTCGTCATGAAAATATAATCAGTACATCTTAATAGGTAGTTACACGGGCATTGAAAATAGTGTTATTTATTCTTTCAATCAATTGTAATAATGCAGCTGACAACGCCACCACCGAAAAATATTATGTAAGAAACACAATACCAAATATAAAATGAAAAATATTATTCATTTCGACTGAGTTGTATTTCTATTTACTTTAAAATCCCTATGAAGACGAACGTGGTCTATTTTTGTGGAAGAATTTATTTATTAAATAAATATCCTTCTGATGAAAGAAAACTGAAAACCTTAGTAGAAAGTAAGTACTATAGCAGAAATAGACTATGGTGCGCAACTAATGCCCAACTTCGTTTTATTTTAGACATCAGTTATGTTGACCAAGAGGTATGTTGAAAAATAATTAAAAACATTTCAAATATTGGTATTTTGTATGATCTTTCCTATTTGAATTCAGACACTATTAACAAGAGAAAGAAATTAACCAGTAAGGAAAGCAGTAAAGTCGTACGGGGCCGACTATATGATACTCTCCACCACTTTGGGTATATTCAACAGATAAATTCTAGCAGACGTTGAAGGACCATTAACACTAAAATGAATCCATAAACAAGTTATTCTGCAACCTATACTAAATTTTTCATTTGGTCAGAATAACTTACTCAACAGGTTGTTATTGCAGTACAGATAGTGACAATAGTGCACATATCGACACCTCCATTTGTTACGTCCTCCACAAAATGTGTTTTTTTAAGAAAATTAAAAGTGTATGTTAATTTATCCTATCCCAGTATGTCTGGGTTTATACATGCAACTTATTTAAGCAACTCTGCTGCTGCTCTCTTCTATTCTTTTTTGGATTTCTTCCCCTTGTCACTTTTTATACCTCTCACTTCTAAGAACTCAGCAGAGTTGCTTACAAAAGTTGCATGTATAAACCCAGACTATCCGATTTTTAAAGTGTTTTCCAGTTGAGCAAACGATTTATAATTAAAATGCACACAATTCCCTCCAATGTTCTTTTTAATCCAAATGACGTTTTTTTTCAAAATAAACATGTTTGCACAAACTTACAAAAATTAAAAATTATAATGTTAATAAAATGACCTATTAAATAAGGTCTCTTGGATAAGAACTTAAAATATCATTCAAGAATACTTCGAATTCGCCTCCCTTTTTGTTTCTCTATCTTTAAACTGTGAGGAATATTGAAAACAAAATTTTTAAAAATTTCAAGGAAAAAACTAATTTTTGCCAAAAATAGCCTTATTTTTTGTTCAGTGTATGAAATCAAAAAGACATGAATGACAATTTAGAAAATATTTTTTTTTTTATTTTCCAATTTTTGTCTTTTTATAATTGTGTGTGAGAAATTTGACACATACCGACAGCCAATGGGACCCATTTGGCACTGCTGAAATATGCGCATTTGCATCAATATTAGTGAACAACATTTTCAAATCGTTACATGTAACCTATCATAAGACATACCCATTCTTTCAGATGTATCATTACTTTTGATGTTATTACTCCGCATCAACGCATTTTTTAGAAGTTTATCAAACCTATGCTATTTTCATGCGATCGCTGAGCGTCCTGTGAACATTTTAGTAAAATCTGTTCAGTGGTTCTTGATTTCAAAAACAATATTTTTTCTACGTATAGATTTAAATGAAATGAGGAGGACATTTTCTTTTGATCGCACCGCGTTTATGTTGTGTCGATAATGCGTATTTAGACCACTGTTACTCAGACGTATTTCGAAGTCGGTATCTGTAACCGCTCATAAGATACACAAATTACATGTTCATAATTTTTGAAGTATGATTACATTCGATGTTATAACTTCGCATACACGCGGAATCTTAGAAGTTTATATAACCTATGGTTTTCCCCGGGAATGGCATAACGTTCTGTGAAAATCTCTGTAAAATCTGCTTAGCGATTTTAGAGTCTACAAACAAAATGTTTCTATTTTCAATATGCAGATATTTAAAATGCAATGGAAAGTGCATTTTCCGTTGATCGTATCATGCTCATTTTTGTATGGATGATGTGTTTTTACACCCCCGTTATTCTGACAAATTTTAAAGACGGTATCTGTAATCGTTCTTAAGATAAGCGCATATTACATCTTTAGAAATTTTGAGGTATGTTTACTATTGATGTTATAACTCCGCATCCACGCGGATTTTTAAAAGTTTATATAGCCTTTGTTACTTTCAGGCCATGCCCCGACATACAGTCGAAACCTCATTAAGATCTGTTCAGCGGTTTTGGCGTCTATCGGTAACAAACAAAAAAACAAATATTTTTCTCTTTTATATATATAGATAGCAGGACCTAATAAGTTATTACCGTTAGATTTGAGCAGTATGTAGCTATAATAAATTAGCAAGCAACCTAATGCAGCTGCAATATATATTAATTTTAATTTTAAAATTAAGCAAGTTCGCATTATCCATACAAAAATGTGCGAAATAGCCAAGTTTTCTCCTGCCTTCCTGATTGGTAATTTATTGATGTTTTCTGTAATGGTAGTAATTTTTGTTTTCTTGAAATGTAAGAATTTTTTTTACAAATTGAAAAAAATTCAAATTTTTTTCATCAATTTTACACAAT